GTGATATANTTTTTTTAATTAAACTGATTATATTGTATAAATATGATGTGATATATAACCTAAATTTTTTCATTTTAACTAAATTTAGACCAGCATTATGAATATGGCCAGAATTAACAAAATTTTGGCCAGAATTATGAATTATTGATTTACTGATTTAATTAATTTTGGCCAACTTTAATTATATACATATATTGTATACTTAAAGAGGATATTGTACAGTTTACCCTTCCTATAGCGAATTTTTATATAATGAATCACGTGATGCTTAGCTAATAAAATATGTCAATTTTTCCTCGCTATAATGAAGTAACCAATCAAATTCTTCAAATTCTTCATTAACTTGCTATAACGAATCGAGGTGTAGAACGGTTTCTTCGCTATATCAAGGTAGACTGTACTACAAAATTTTTTTTATCAACTTTAGTGAAAAAAATTTGCCTTTTTTTTTTGTGACACTGTTAACATTAATTTAATGTCACTTATTCTAAAAAAAGATGGCAGTTTTTCTTGCATAATAACATCCAATTCAACTCCATTTCAATAACTTTACTATTCACAAAATAGTAGACTTAGTATTTTGCATAAATTAAATTTTTTCTCTGAAATTTAATTCAATTCAAATTTGATTCAAACTTAATTTAGACTTGATTTGACCTACAAAAATAATTATCTCAGGATCTAGTAATCCAATTTCAATGATCTTTTTTTTAAACAATAGCTTTCATTATCCTAATTAACATAAAAAAAGATCATTAAAATTGGACTGTTAGATTAAAAGTTATTCACAAAATAATTTTTTACTCTCCAGAAGCAATTAGGATCATATTGTATCATAAATCGATTCATGCAAAACACTAAATAGTAGTCAATAATTCTTTGATATAATGTATATTTTAATTTCTTAGTTTTTATTTAATATTACCAATAGATAATTGATCAATAATCAATATCTTTAATAAGTATATTTAATGAATTGATGTTTAGTTTATTTGATATAATATGAATTATAAAAGTCATTTTTTAATATTTTTAATAAAAGATCAGGATTTTTTGCATAAAATTTATAAATATTTTTTTTGCAAATTATATTTAATACTTTTGTAACTTTTTTAAATACTGTATATATAATTTCTAATATATTATTGTAAATTATTATTAATGTATTATAAAGCTATGTTAGTATAAGATAAATTATTGATAAGATTCAATTAAACATTTTTTTATTTATACAAATTAATGTATTTAATTATGCATTTTTATTATTATTCTAATATTAATTAATTTCATTTAATCTGATCTGAATTGAATCTGAAAAATATTATTTCATAATTTAGTGATTAGATTTTAATAAATTTTTGTTTTATAAATTATACAATTTACTCTTCCTATAGCAAATTTTAATATAATGAATTACGTGATGCTTAGCTAATAAAATATGTTAATTTTCTCTCGCTATAATAAAATAACCAATCAAATTCTTCAAATTCTTCATTAACTTGCTATAACGAATTTGAGGTGCAAGAGTAGACTGTATTAAGTTAATTAAAATAAAAAAAAGTTTATTAAAATTGAACTGCTAAATCATGGGATATTTATAAAAAATGTTTTTTTTAAGAATTTAATATCCAACTTGGAGCTAAGGTTGCCTGCTTAAACCTCTCCAAAATTCTATGATTAGTTTTTCCAAAATTTTACTATAGTTTTATTATAGTTTCAGCAGTTTTGGCATTTATAATAAGTTTCGTCAGGTTTCACTTTTTTCCAGAATTTCGCCAACTTTTTAATAAGATCTTCATATAGTTTCAGCAAAGTTTTGCTATTTTGGCATTTCGCTAACTTGCCAAAACCCCCTAGTTTCTCCAGCAACTTTACTTGGAGCTGATTCTTATAATAAAATAATAAAAAAATGTTTATTAACATTTTTTAATAGTTTTAAAAAAAAATTTTTGAAACTGATCTATGGAATTTGATATTTAATTTGAAGCTGATTCCATATAATAAAATAATAATAAAAAATATTAAAAAACATTTTTTTAATAGTTTCAAAAAAAAATTTCCAAAATTTATCTATGAAATTCAGTATTCAATTTGGAGCTAATTCCTTATAATAAAATAATAAAAAAAAAACATTTTTTATTAATGTTTTTTTATAAGTTTTAGAAAAAATTTCTGAAACTTATCTATTGGATTCAATATCTAACTTTAGAACTGATTCCTTATAATAGAATATTAGAATCCTGAACATTACTAAAAAACTCAGATTTGAATTTATATAAACCCTATAATTAATTTCTATTCCAAATGCATAAAATTATATGTAAATTTTAGCCTTAAATTTTGCTATCTTGAGATCTAGTAATTGGATTTTAATGATCTTTGGCTTGTTAGATTTGTTTATTAGATTAAAATTATTATATTGTGAAAATAATTATAATATAAGATTAATTAATGTAAAATTACTTTTTCAAGAACCATTCTTCTCTAACTTCTTCCTCCTTATATAACTAATTTAATTTTAGGATTATTAATTTAAAATATTTCACTATCCTTTAATATTACATTATTTATTATTAGACTTTCATATTTATTTCATAATAAAATAATTTACATCACATGATTATTAATTATTCCAATATTGTATCACATTAACAAGGTTAGTTAATATTGTTGTTATCTAAATTATTGACCTATTTACTACTTTTAATTTTGGTAAAATTATGATACTACAATGTAAATTGATAGGTTGATGACTTAAATAATAAAAAACAACTTTTATTAAGTATTTACATAAATTAATAAAAATTATAAAATAAGAAAATAAAAAAAACATCAAATTATCTTTAATAATTTATTTTTTTTTCATTTTTTTTCTTAATTTCTTTTAATTCCATAGATTTTGTAAAAAAACTTAGGATTTTTATAATAGTTGTTAAAAGAGTAAGAGTAGATAAATAGGTAAAATTAATCGCTTGACTCAAAAAGTAACTCTGTTAATTTTTTTTTAAAAAAAAAATTATTTAATATTTGATTTAAGAAAAAGTAAAGCAAAAAAAAAACTACATACCCTAATAGCTAGTTCAGGAATACTTTTAATAATAACACTAATAATTTCTCCAATAATAATTCTTTCTTCAAATTCTTTAGACAATTTAATGCCAAATTCATGTCCATAGAAATTGAAATCAAGTATATGTAAAGCTTTAACCTCAGCTCCTGCTATTGATATCAATATTACAAGAATTATTTTATGATTTTTTGAAATCTCTAGCCATTCCATAATCATAACTTTTTTTGATACTTTTTTCTTATCTCTTTGACTTTTTGAATCTTCTCTTTGGCCTTCTGAATCTTCTCTTTGGTCTTCTCTTTGGTTTTCTGAATCTTCTCTTTGACCTTCTAAATCTTCTCTTTGATCTTCTAAATCTTCTGTTAGAATTAAACTTGATTTTTCTGAATCTCCTTCACTTTTTTTTGATCTTGCAAGTTCACCAAGTATAATGAATACCACATATGCTGACTTTATTGCATATGGAACTGTCACAAAAAACACACTTGAAAAAAAAATTTATTATTTTAAATATTCTAGAGTCTTTTTTTTTTTAAAAAAAAAAATTTAATTTAATTTAGAGATTGATTTACCTTGCAAAAAAAATATTTTCAACACTAGCTGCCTCCATTTTAGCAAAAAGAATGTCCAACACAAATGTCAAAATACTAAATCCATATGAATAAATTTGAAAGTGGTTTCTCTAAATTAATATATGTGTATATACGGTATATTATATTAGTATTTGATTTTCAATTAAATATAGTAATGTTATTTTACCTTAATCTCATCATCTCCCTTTTTAGGTAGTAAAATTTGGATTAAATTACGTATATCACGTATAATTATAGAAAAAAAAGTTTTTATAACACTTTTGCTTTCTACTTCATTTTTTGCATCGTGATATATAGAAATGAAGCAAAGTATGGTCAATACCAAAATGAATATACCAGTTAAAATTAATTGGAACATAAGGCCAATATCTTTATACCACTTTGCTATTTACAGGTTCAAAACATTAAATAAAGAAAGAAAAACATTATTAATTTGGTTAAATTTTCATCTGAAAATTTTTAAGAAATTGAATACTTACGAATAATTACATATCCATAAGTTTGATCTAAATATTGTGAAATATAATCAGATGCAAGAGCAGTGATAGGTTTATTCCTAATCATAATATCTAAATAATCCGCGATTAAATCAGCTCTTCCACTTGCATTATTAATATTGATAGATAAAATGTATTGTTTTGGAGATTTGTCAGGAACTTTAGTGTCAATTTGATATCTTTTCGTGGTGGTTATTTGAACTGATGCAATAGAAAGTGCATCAGCCAACTCTTTTGTTAATCTATTAAAAAATCCTTCCTGTTTATTAGTCCTAGTAAGATTGTCAAAATATTCTGTTCCATCTAAGGTCAATTTAACTTTTCCATCAATACTATTCAAAAGCCATTCTTGAATTTTACTTGGTTCACTTACATTTCCTTCTTCCGCGGCTAATTGAAAAATAATTTATTATGTACAATGTAATTCTATTTTGAGAAAAATTTCTAAAGCGCTTACTTTTAAAATTCCAAACATAATTATTTAAGCCATAGAGAGGTTCCTTGTATAATCGACTCACTACAAAATTGTTTGCAATCATGATATGGTATGTTTTACCTGGATTATTAAATGTACTATTAATAACCTCAACCCTAACAGTATTGTTATCAGATAGTTTTACATAATTTTCATCTGAGCCACTGACGTTTTGACGTACAATTCCAAAACCATCATTACTTTGAAAAATGGTAATTGTACCATCTGATAATGCAACTGGAATTGCATATGTAATTGTGATAAAATTAATTTTGTTTGCAGCGATATTATTTTGACCAATGGTTGGAGTTGTATTTGTGATAAGTATATTATCATATGGATTATCTAAAGTGTTTGTAAAGTTTCTAAAACTTTAAAAAAAAAAATATTTTTGTTTTTTTTCGAAAATTTTTCACTATTATCTTACCTCTATTATAAACTTTATACAAATCGGTGGTGATTAAACCCCAAGTTTGATTTACTGTTGGTTGAACCATTACAACAGTGTTATTTGTTAAAACTTGTCTTAGACCATAATAATTTATCTCAGTAGGATAATTAAGAGTCCAATTATGCAAAATGCCATTGTCATCCAGAACATAACCCCAAATACTTGTGGTACTAGGTTGATCAACAGTATTATGGTAGAAATAACCTCCAAATCTTAATGACATAATGCCATTTGCTGAATTCATAATAGTAGGAGTGACATTAAATAAAGATCCTTGCGAAAGAAAATTAATTTTGATAAAACGAGATGTTGAACTTGTAGTGGAATTAGGTTGTAAGGATATTAAACAAACATTTCCAACTCCTGAGTAATTAATTCTGCATTCCATAGAAGATATATTTAATGGATTTGTAGATTGATAAAGAATAACTGGTTCTCGCACGATATTGCTTTTATATTCACAGTAAATGCCATAAATCCCTCCCTGTGGAGAATAAGGATCCCTGGAGGAGTTTATTGAATTTGTACTATTAGTAAAAATAATCATATAATCTCCATCCACAGTTGCAATCGGAAGAAATTGCGCGTAATTAGGTAAAATCATTTCTGCCGTAATATTACTAAGAGACAAATCATCATTTCTTCATAAAAAAAAGGAAAAGAATGTAAATTAAACCATACATTAAATAAAATTAAAATTTTGATTAAAATTTTATCAATATGATAAATTACATTATCCATTGTGTTAAGTTAAATACATTATTGTATGTGAGGCTCCGATATAGGAATCCTCGGTTGTTATTAACATTTGGTAAAATAAAATTTTGTCCAGGTATCCAATTATTATTATTATCAACATAAGATGGCCCCAGTAAAGTAATACTAAAAAAGAAAGTACGTATATTATTTATTTTTTTAAAAAAAAAAGTTTCAAAAATTTCCAACCTGTGAATATTTCCATATAAATCAATAAGCATCGTATAATCATTATAAGTAGAACTATTCTTAATATCCCCAGCTACGGTATAAGTTACTAATATAAATTTGCCTTTTGTAGTTTCTATGGCAAAAGAAGTAATGGGGTCAAGGTAACCTACAGGTGAATTAACGGGACAAAAATTTAAAGGTTGTATCCCCGATTTATCCCTTGAAATGTTAATTGGTTCAATAGTTCCATTGGGATAAATGACTCGAAATGATAAGTTTGTTTCTTTACAATCATTATATGATAGTAGCATATAAATTAATCGCAGGACTATCGTATTATCTTCATAAGTTAGAATATCATTTACTTCAAGTGTATCCGATCCTGTAATTACTTCTTCTGTATATGTTATTACAGAATTTGATGTTACTAGTAATGTTGTAAATAAAATTATTGATAAAAAAATTGATAGATGTTTTAACTTCATTTTGCAGAAATTGGAATGAAATCTTATTATAGCGGTGGAGTTATAACTCTAAATGAATGAATTAGGGGTATATATGTACTGTACATGTAGATTTATTTATTAAATTACTTGATTCAACTTCGTACAATTAAAAAGACTATCCAACTCAACATTTATTAGAATTTGTAGTTTCGCCATCCGGATATCCGAAAAAAGGGTTGAGTTTCACAGCTTTAATTTATGAACATTTACCGTATAGCACAGTTGATATGCCGAGACAGGTATATAACATTGGGGGGCATGCCGAAAGGGGTCTTTGGCAGTGCTATACGCACGGTATAAGTATGTCTGGAATGTGTAACAATAACTTTCACAGAAATATATAGTCCGGCTATAATGTTTGTATCCGGATAGTATCGGATAAAAAAATCCGTATCCGTTAAGAATTTTCAAATCTGGTTATATCTATCCGGATTAATCCATAATCTTCGCGGATGACTAACAGATCATTAACGAGTTTGTGCCCGGATAAAATTCGTGAACCTAATATCCAAAACTGACAGTAGAATTAATTCATTTTTATAGTGTTATCATTGTATCATAATTTGCAAATGTATTTAAAAAATAAAGAACATTAATTATATTGAATTTTATTGTGTGTAACTTACGTAAAGTACAGCAATAGCATAAATTGCTGTTGAAAACAAATTGATCATTCTTATTTTAACTTTTAAAAACATAATATGGTTAAGTAGCCCAGGTTTCATTCTTTAAAAGATCTGAGAACAGTTGTTTTGAAGGAGTAGATGCCACCCGAATACCTAGTAATGTTACTTGTCATACTATAAAAAATATGGAAATATGGTATTACAAAAACTACGCAATAAAACAAGCATAAATACAGGTTAACCCGGATGATCCCGTTTAAATTATAACGTTAAAAAAATTTTTATATATGTACTGTACATATGATATGCATTAGATTTATTTATTAAATTACTCGGACTATCCAACTCAACATTTATTAGAATTTGTAGTTTCGCAATCCGGATATCCGAAAAAAGGGTTAAGTTTCATAGCTTTAATTTATGAACATTTGCCGTATAGCACAGCCTACTGTATTTGATATATCGAGACAGGTGTTTAACATTGGGGCATGCCGAAAGGGGTCTTTGGCAGTAGTGTTTCGATCCGTATTCGGGTCCAACCGGTTGAACCCGGATAATTTTATTTTTCGGATATCCGGATAATCGCGGTTTTTACCCGGATAAATATCCGGTTAAAAAATATCCGGTTTTGACCCGGAATCCGGATAATGAAAATAAAAAAAAGTTTTTCTTAAATGTTTAAATTAGTTTTCTTTCTAAATTTTTATTCAGTGAAGGATTGAAATCAATTCCCAAAATAAGAATTGATTTTTAGAGTCAATCAATCGTGATTATTATTCATTTCTTAAGTTTCAATTCTAAAATTCGGTTTATTATTTTGACTTATTGATATTAAGCCATTTTGTGCACTAAAAGCATGCAACAATCTTGATGATCACGGACAAAAAAAAAAGTTCACATTTTCTAAAAAATTTCGGAAAATCAAACCTACAGCATAATTTGGGCAAAATTCATAGTGCCGGCCGAAATTAGAGTTTCTAACCTTAATTTAAGATCTACGATTTAATTAAATAAACGCCACCAATTTAATCAAATTTGTTACTATGGAACTTAATTAAACTTATACCATGAATTTTATTTAATATATGCCATGAATTTCCCAATCTATAAAAAAAATTAATATTAATTCTATCCGGATTTCGGTTTCTATCCGGATATATCCGGATTTTTATCCGAGGCGGATAATCCGGATAAAAACCGGATAATTTTTTTAATTTATCCGGGTAACGGTTTCTACCCGGATCGAAACACTATTTGGCAGTGCTATACGCACGGTATAAGCATGTCTGGAATACAACAACTTTCACAGAAATATATAGTCCTTCTGCTATAATATTTGTATCCGGATAGTATTGGATAAAAAAATCCGGATCCGTTAAGAATTTTCAAATCTGGTTATATCTATCCATAATCTTCGCGGATGACTACAGATCATTAACGAGTTTTTACCCAAATAAAATTCGTGAACCTAATATCCAAAACTGACAATAGAATTCATTTTTATAGTGTTATCATTGTATCATAATTTGCAAATGTATTTAAAAAAATAAAAATATTTAAGAACATTAATTTTATTGTGTGTGTAACTTACGTAAAGTACATCAATAGCATAAATTGCTGTTGAAAACAAATTGACCATTCTTATTTTAACTTTTAAAAACATAACATGGTTAAGTAGCCCAGGTTTCATTCTTTAAAAGATTTCCTGCATCTGAGAACAATTGATTTGAAGGAGTAGATGCCACCCGAATACCTAGTAATGTTACTTGTCATACTGTAAAAAATATGGAAATATGGTATTACAAAAGTTACGCGATAAAACAAGCATCAATGATTATCCGGATAAATCACGATTTATATCAATTAAATTGTATCCGGATAACGTTAAAAAAATTTTTATCCGGATACTTGCTTCTTACCGGAAAACCGGATACCCGTCAATTACTGATCTAGATACAAACATAATCGAAAGGGGCTTAGACGGTACTATACGGTATAAGCTTAAATGTGGTTTTTCAAAATTCATATTTGGCGATCATTTCCAAACGATTTTGCAATGTGCGCCACAACCTTGACAAAAAAAATCCGGTCATCCGGATACTGATAGACAGGTTCTTATTCTTAAAACATTCAACAAATTCTTCTTTTGAGAATATAAAAAGCAACCTTTTTTCTTTCCTCATATGTACAATAATTAAATCAAATTTTTTTAAAGAAAATCAAAACATGAATAAATTAGCCTCTTTAATTCATATTCTCTTATTCCTAATTACTGTTTCGAGTGCTAATGATGGATTAGATGACTTATTTCGCAAACGAAATCAATGTCCTTGTGCTGATGCCTATGCAAATTTCGCTTCAAGTCACCCTTCTTCTGGTCCATTCAGAGGTTTCGTGGCCTTCTCTCAAGACGAAACTGGTTGCACTACCATCTTTGGCGCTTTCGATAAAGGATTTGATCCAAATTGCAATTACAACTTTTTAATCAAAGATGGATGCAGCGGAACCAAGTATAATATTACAAGTGATTTGAATGTTGAAATAACAAGGGATGGTGGCACAAAGTTTTTCAGCCATAGGTTTGATAATATCAACCTTAACTGCAAAAGTGATGGTCTTATTAGTTGTTATAAGTCACATTATAAACGTCAATTTACCAGAGGCGCCAGTGGTCTTCATGTAAGTAGTAATGGCCAAAGGAATAGAAAAGTTAGATCATTGTGTGACGAATGTTATGGTTATGCTTCAATTAACCCGGTTCCTAAATAATTCTTCAAATAAAAGTAATTATTCTGTAAATTTATTGTGATATGGGTTAGTTAGTGTTAGGTTGGCTCATTTTTTTAAAACAGTAGTGGTGAAAAAAAATGGCAGTAAATAAAAATTCATTTACACGATCAATTTTTATTAAAATTGTTTAAAATTTAAATTATAAGTAAATAAATATTATATTTTTTATAAACAAAATTTCTAGTATTAATAAATATTGACATTTTTTTTTTTAATTATCGATTTTATCCTCTTTTATTTACTATTTACTATATTTAATTTCATTTTTTTCAATCCCTATTCCATACTGATAACAAGAACCTATGTATATTACTTAAAGATTCTGGTTGGCTACTATACTCTATTTGCATATTCATTTCTTCACTATTTTGTAGCTTGAAAAGTGGCTGAAGATGTTGAGATAAATGATATGAAGATAATAATACATTAGCATTCTGATCTTTACTTTCCCGGCACCTTAATTCATTAATTGTTGGTCATTTTGCAGATTGCGATTTTGCATTACTTGGTGCTTTTAAACATTTGTCAAGATGAGCATGCATAGGAATGGCTCGTTGACAATTTTTGGAACAGTATATGCATTGTACAGAAGGATGCGAATTGTTACATTTATTTACAATAATGAAATGCATCTAAACAGGACCTTTCTTTCTCTCTTTTCTTATCATCTGGTATAAGATTTTTTGTTTAGTTGTGTGTAAGAAAATAATTATGCCTAGCGAATTAGTAATGAAGAAAAAAAAATGAGTGATTAAATATAGCATGTCTGAAATGTGTGCCAGGTTGATGGTGCAGTATGGCGCAGCGATTTTCCAAAAAAATTAAACTATAATGTTTTTTATTTAAAATAAAACCTTTAAATTCCTACCTTAGATGTATTTTTGTCCACTCTGCAAATTTACTTAGAGAATATACAAGTGGTTTAGAAGGCCATTTTCAAGTTATTTAACAAAAACTATTTTTTTAACAAATCCAATTTTGAAAATAATTGGCAGACGATAAAATTGGTTGTTATATATTAAAGTCAAAATCTACTTCCAAAACCTCCTTCCATTTATAAGTGAATTTTGTAAAACAGATGAAAATACATCTAATGTATAAATTTGAAAGCTTTACATCAAAAAGAAAATCTTTAACTTCAATTTTTTTGAAATTACTGCACCATATTGTATCATCAACCTGACATACATTCCAGACATGCTTAAATATAAAGAATTGACAATTTTCATTAGCTAAAAAAGGAAAATAGTATAACAAGAAAAGGCTAATTAATGTTAATCACTTATTCAAACCAATTGTTAATATTGTTATACCAATTTTTGAATGCTTATAAAAATAAGCATATATAATAAATAAGATAAATGTTAATAAATGCGTAGTGAAATAAAGTATATTAAAATACTAATAAATGTATTACTGTTAATCAATTTATAATGTAAATTTAATCAAATGTGAATACGGTAATGCATACACTAGCATATACACTCAGATACAAATATTGATTCACAATAGAATAAAACCTTAAACTAAACAATAAGATAACTTTTTTTAATAAATACTTTATTAAATTGTCTATTATTACATTAATTTGGAATGCATGTATTTATAACAATAAAATCTATGCTAATCATATTTAATATGTTGTATAAATGCTACAGTAGCTCACATATATTATGCATTACTTTAAATATTAATTTTAATTATGGGCTGGTGCAAAAAGATTGGTACCTCAAACATTGCATCAATAAAAAAAAATTTTATTATATAAATATTTTTTTTTATTTATTTAATATTATCAGTATGTATTGGAAAAAATACAATATAAATATTATGTAATGTCATGTAATACTCATCAGAACTACTATAAGCGTCAAATTCTTCATCAATTAATTGTATATTTTTATCAGATTCAAAATATTTCTTAACATTTTTAAAAGCTCTTTCCCGAAGTCCTACAATAACCTTTGAAGAAAATTTTTTTTTAAATACATTTAAAAGTGAATTTCTAATAAATAAAAGG